GGGGCTTCTCTCAGAACTCAATCATTTACAAATATAGGCCTAATCCTGCAATGGCACAGGTGGACTAAAGTCACTATGGGGGATCATGAGACTGGCCTATGGTGACCCAGTATGGGGAAAACATGCAGCTTTGTGTGTCAATTTCATCTGACCTGGGCCATTTAAATGAATGGGATTCTGCCTGTGATTGGGACATGGATGAGGATGATTTACCGAAGATTCAATATGCATAAGACTGGGGTAATTTGGATAGACTAGGAGATACAACCAGAAGAAACAAAGTTTGTTTACCTGTTGGTTGAAAGGGTATGCCCACTATTAGCCCAGTTTGCAAGCTGGGGTCTTATTGGATCATCAGTTGCTTCTGTATCTCCAGGGGCAGTGGTGGCCAAAACACTTTTTCCGAACTACATTGGTCTAGAAGTTTGCAACCTTTTCTTCTGAGATGTGGACCTTGACCCAGGGATCCATGTCTTTGTCCTCTTAGGATTGGATTACTAGAATGCATTCAATGAGACCATTCAGAAATTTCAGCTGGTGTGGAATGCAGCTGCACGTGTATCAAGGGGCATTTCTCACAGAGAGTATATTACGACTGCCCTCTGTGGCCTAAAATGACTTCCAATTGTTTCTGGATGAAGTTTAAGTTGTTGTTTTTTACCTTTAAAACCCTTAATGGTTTGGATCCAGCTACTTCAGAAACTACGCATCTCCTAGAGTGATTCCACAGCAATTAAAAGCAGTTGAGGTGCTTGAGCTCATAACCTCCTCATTTAGATAGGAAGACATGATTACAATTCAGGGGGCTTAAGTGCCAAGTAACCCAGTACATATGGAAAGGAAATATTAACAGAAAGTCAGAGAGACTAGAAAACAAGAGACCACCACTGTGGATAGTTAAGCATTTGCTTTATTAGATGTATGGTATATTAAAAATATTGAAGTAACTCAGGCAAATAGCCAAGAGGTCACCACTCCATCGTCCATCGTCATCTCTATAACAGACATAAAGGAGCAGTAGACAGATACCATCTGTAGCAGTGTGTTCTTCTTGAGGTGTAGGAACACATGGGATATTTTATAACCTTGTCTGAACCATTTTTGAAGCTACACAGGGAAGAGATTGGTTTATATAAAACTCTTTCTTGGGAGATACAAACATCAAAGATGGGACACAGAGAGAAAGACAACATCCAGACTGACAGCAGCAGCTGGTAGTCCCCAGAGGTAGCATCAGATATTGTGTTTATAAAGTTTCAGAGGAACAGCCGTGTTAGTCTGTATTCGCAAAAAGAAAAGGAGTACTTGTGGCACCTTAGAGACTAACCAATTTATTTGAGCGTGAGCTTTCGTGAGCTACAGCTCACTTCATCAGATGTATACCGTGGAAACTGCAGCAGACTTTATATACACACAGAGAATATGAAACCAGCAGGACAGTGGGGTGGGAGGAGGTATTGTTTCATATTCTCTGTGTGTATATAAAGTCTGCTGCAGTTTCCACGGTATACATCTGATGAAGTGAGCTGTAGCTCACGAAAGCTCACGCTCAAATAAATTGGTTAGTCTCTAAGGTGCCACAAGTACTCCTTTTCTTTTTGTTTATAAAGTGTGAACTGTTAGTCAAAGTAACTCTCACAGCAATGTAAATCAGAAGTAATTCATTTGAAGTCTCTGGACCTGATTCTCCACAGCATGTGTATCCATTTTTAAAACATGCACACTGTATGTAAAATGCTACCATTCTGATCTGGTAGAGTTTTTCACCCACTTGCCACTGATCTTAAATTATTACACAAGGTGTGAAGAATTAGGTCCAGTGGAGTTAGGCTTCCCTAAAACTGAAGTCCCAAAGTGGAGAATCAGGCCCAAGATTTCCTTAAATTTGTTATGTCACTCCCACACATCAATTTCCCTCTTCCACAAAAGTCATCTATAAACTGGTGAAGTGACTCAGCAGAACAAAAGAGTTTAGGAAGCAAGGCTTCTTTCTCATGGTTTATTAACCAAAAAAGTAAGATCATTCAATACAATCAAACAACAAACAGAAAAATTCCCTAAATGTATTCAGGTTTGAATATAGTTCTGGTTTCCTCCTTACATGTATAGGACACACGTAATATATTGTTCTGTGAGCCTGGGGCTTATGCTAGTACCTTCCTTGTCTCAGTTATACTCACACTTTTCTATCAAATCTGGTGAACCATAATGTAGGGACCATCTCTGAAGTTGAGAATGCACTCTTCATGCTGAGCCCATCCTTGGTTTGCAAGAAAAGGTGTTCTTTTAGTTTTGGGCAACATACAGCGGTTAAATAGCAATAACCCTTTATTACTGATTTTATTCCAATATGAAGGGATGACCTAGGGGCGAAAGGCTTCAGAGGCCATAACTAATTCATTAGGTCATCCAGTCCCCTGGCTGGATTAATTGGTTGTTTGGTACCTGGACGTGGACTTTGTTCTTGGTATGTTATTTTATTTTATTTTTTTTTAGGTAAAGGAAAGTCTTTTCACATGCTTTCTGTAATTTGAGGACTAATGTTTATTTTTATGACAAGACTCTGTGAAAATGAGACACATGGAAGGTAAGTGACTTGTTCACAGCCACATACGATATGTGGAGGATTAGTTATTTTTGGCCCCAGTTCAGCAAAGCACTTAAGTATGTGCTTATTTTGAAATACACACTTAAGAACTGTGCTGAATAGGAATGGACTTAATCATATGCTTGAAATTAAACATATACTTAAGGGCTTTGCTGAATCAGGCAATCAGGTTGAGTTTGTCTGCCTGTTAGCACTCTAAGAAAAACCTATGTATTATTTTTTGTGTTGGGCTTAAAAAAATCACTGTAAAAGCTAGGGTATACAGTAGTAAAACATCTATTTGACCATTTGTAATAACGACTTAATAAACATTGAGACATTTTTAAAATGTAAAAAAAATGTATATTTCTTTCTGTCAGTGGAATAATTAATTAGGGAGACTTATTTGGAAGCAAAAATCAAATTACTAGTATCCTTCCAACGGTTGTTTATCTGTACTTATAAAATGACTTCAAAAGAGCAAAAAAGCTATTTCTCTGGTTACTTAATTGTAAATCAAACATTTATGTTCAAACTCTATGTAAACCTTTAAGATACAAAGTTCAGCAATAGAATGTACCTTTTTAGAAAAGCTTTATTTGTACTGTAATATTTTAGGTTGTTTACTAAAGAGTCTGTTTGTTGCTAATGCATTTCAAAAGCCTAGCACTTGATTCTTAAACAGGAAGAATTATAGGGTCAAACATAAAAAAAATATAATCTTGTGTGTGGTTGCAATTATATTTGTGAAAAGTACCTGCATTTCAGTCTAATGTTTTTCAGTCACAAGGGAACTGTGGAGAGCTGGTTCAAAGTTTGAGCTAACGTTTCAAGAGCAGCACTTAACTGCAGTGATTTTATATATATATATTTAAATAAAGAGCATTACTCTGATTGGTCTTTTGTCATTCAGGATATTCATTTGCTTCTTGATGGGAAATAACAGATTTTTTAAAAACGCTTTAATCAAACTGTTCAATCTTCAAACTATTTAAATTTGCAGTTCATTGCATTGCCATTCCCAATGAATTATAAGAAGATTTACTACTATCAATGTATTTTACTAAGACTTAGGGCGCTGCTTTTTGTCTTAGGGAAAGTGATTTGAGTTAAATCTTTGAAATTGTACATGTATGTAACATGGAACTGATTTTGTTTCATAAGGCTTAATGTGGCCCTGACCAGCAGATAATCCTGTGACATACAGCAAATAAACAGACCCTCCCTGAGTAAACTGCTGTGAAACATTTAGTTTACTTTCCCTTAGTGAATATGCATAATAGCAAAAAGACTGTAGCAAATGTGGAAAAGGCTAGCACCACCTCTGGGTGGAAAATGTAAAACACAATATATATCATTGAGGCACATAGGCTACCATATTCTAAATGAGGATGTGATGGGAAAGAAATTAATGGTTATTGTTTAATTGTATGTTTTAGTTATTTCAAATTAACACATTCAAAAAAGGTACAATATTTGGTGCTTTTTATTTAGGATGGTGTTTCTCAACCTTTCCAGACTACTGTACCTCTTTCAGGAGTCTGATTTGTCTTGCGTGACCTCAAGTTACACCTCACTTAAAAACTACTTGTTTACAAAATCAGGCATAAAAATACAAAAGTTACACAGCACTCTACTACTGAAAAATTGCTTCCTTTCTCATTTTTACCATATAATTATAAAATAAATCAGTTGGAACATAAATATTGTACTTACATTTCAGTGTACAGTATATAGAGAAGTATAAACAAATCATTGTCTGTATGAAAATTTATTTTGTACTGACTTCGCTAGTGCTTTTTATGTAGCCTGTTGTAAAACTAGGCAAATATCTAGAAGAGTTGATGTACCCTCTGGAAGACCTCTGTGTACCCCCAGGAGTACGTGTACCCCTGCTTGAAAATCAATCATTTAGGATGAGTTTATTCATTTTTAGAAAGCATCAGATCTGTGTTCTAAGGGACTGATCCAAAGCCAGTTAAGCCAATGGAAAGAAACCCATTTACTTCAATGAGCTTTGTATCAATCTTGAGATATTCTGTAGGAAGAGGCAGAATTCTGAGAGCCAAAGTGTATGTGTATCTGTCAAGGTTCCTTCCCCACTCTGAACTCTAGGGTACAGATGTGAGGACCTGCATGAAAGACCCCCTAAGCTTATTCTTACCAGCTTAGGTTAAAAACTTCCCCAAGGTACAAACTTTGCCTTGTCCTTGAACCCTGTGCTGCCACCACCAAGCGTGTTAAACAAAGAACAGGGAAAGAGCCCACTTGGAGACATCTTCCCCCAAAATATCCCCCCAAGTCCCACACCCCCTTTCCTGGGGAAGGCTTGATAAGAATCCTCACGAATTTGTACAGGTGAACACAGACCCAAACCCTTGGATCTTAGCCCTGGTCTACACTAGGACTTTAGGTCGAATTTAGCAGCGTTAAATCGATTTAAACCTGCACCCGTCCACACAATGAAGCCCTTTATTTCGACTTAAAGGGCTCTTAAAATCGATTTCCTTACTCCACCCCTGACAAGTGGATTAGCACTTAAATCGACGTTGCCGGCTCGAATTTGGGGTACTGTGGACACAATTCGATGGTATTGGCCTCCGGGAGCTATCCCAGAGTGCTCCATTATGACCGCTCTGGACAGCACTCTCAACTCAGATGCACTGGCCAGGTAGACAGGAAAAGAACCGCGAACTTTTGAATCTCATTTCCTGTTTGGCCAGCGTGGCAAGCTGCAGGTGACCATGCAGAGCTCATCAGCACAGGTGACCATGATGGAGTCCCAGAATCGCAAAAGAGCTCCAGCATGGACCGAACGGGAGGTACGGGATCTGATCGCTGTTTGGGGAGAGGAATCCGTGCTATCAGAACTCCGTTCCAGTTTTCGAAATGCCAAAACCTTTCTGAAAATCTCCCAGGGCATGAAGGACAGAGGCCATAACAGGGACCCGAAGCAGTGCCGCGTGAAACTGAAGGAGCTGAGGCAAGCCTACCAGAAAACCAGAGCGGCGAACAGCCGCTCTGGGTCAGAGCCCCAAACATGCCGCTTCTATGATGAGCTGCATGCCATTTTAGGGGGTTCAGCCACCACTACCCCAGCCGTGTTGTTTGACTCCTTCAATGGAGATGGAGGCAATACGGAAGTAGGTTTTGGGGACGAAGAAGATAGCTCACAGCAAGCAAGAGGAGAAACCGGTTTTCCCGACAGCCAGGAACTGTTTCTCACCCTAGACCTGGAGCCAGTACCCCCCGAACCCACCCAAGGCTGCCTCCTGGACTCAGCAGGCGGAGAAGGGACCTCTGGTGAGTGTACCTTTTAAAATGCTATACATGGTTTAAAAGCAAGCATGTGAAAGGATTACTTTGCCCTGGCATTTGCGGTTCTGCCTTTGCAAAAGGTTTCTGGGGAGGGCAGCCTTATTTTGTCCTTCATGGTAGGACACTTTACCACTCCAGGCCAGTAACACGTACTCGGGAATCACTGTAGAACAAAGCATTGCAGTGTATGTTTGCTGGCATTCAACCAAAATCCGTTCACGCGGTGGGAGGAGGCAAAATGCGACCTTGTAACGAAAGCACATGTAATGTTAACAGCAAGGTTTACCCTGAAAGAGTGTAGCGACTGTTTTATAAAATGTGTCTTTTTAAATACCGCTGTCCCTTTTTTTTTCTCCACCAGCTGCATGTGTTTCAATGATCACAGGATCTTCTCCTTCCCAGAGGCTAGTGAAGCTTAGAAAGAAAAAAAAACGCACTCGTGATGAAATGTTCTCCGAGCTCATGCTGTCCTCCCACACTGACAGAGCACAGACGAATGCGTGGAGGCAAATAATGTCAGAGTGCAGGAAAGCACAAAATGACCGGGAGGAGAGGTGGCGGGCTGAAGAGAGTAAGTGGCGGGCTGAAGAGAGTAAGTGGCGGGCTGAAGACAGGGCTGAAGCTCAAAGGTGGCGGCAGCGTGATGAGAGGAGGCAGGATTCAATGCTGAGGCTGCTGCAGGACCAAACCAGTATGCTCCAGTGTATGGTTGAGCTGCAGCAAAGGCAGATGGAGCACAGACTGCCACTGCAGCCCCTCTGTAACCAACCGCCCTCCTCCCCAAGTTCCATAGCCTCCACACCCAGACGCCCAAGAACGCGGTGGGGGGGCCTCCGGCCAACCAGCCACTCCACCACAGAGGATTGCCCAAAAAACAGAAGGCTGTCATTCAATAAATTTTAAAGTTGTAAACTTTTAAAGTGCTGTGCTTAAAGTGCTGTGTGGCATTTTCCTTCCCTCCTCCACCACCCCTCCTGGGTTACCTTGGTAGTCATCCCCCTATTTGTGTGATGAATGAATAACAAATGCATGACTGTGAAGCAGCAATGACTTTATTGGCTCTGCAAGCAATGATTAAAGGGAGGAGGGGAGGGTGGTTAGCTTACAGGGAAGTAGAGTGAATCAAGGGGCGGGGGGGTTCATCAAGGAGAAACAAACAGAACTTTCACACCGTAGCCTGGCCAGTCATGAAACTGGTTTTCAAAGCTTCTCTGATGCGTACCGCGCCCTCCTGTGCTCTTCTAACCGCCCTGGTGTCTGGCTGCGCGTAACCAGCAGCTAGGCGATTTGCCTCAACCTCCCACCCCGCCATAAACGTCTCCCCCTTACTCTCACAGATATTGTGGAGCACACAGCAAGCAGTAATAACAGTGGGAATATTGGTTTCGCTGAGGTCTAAGCGAGTCAGTAAACTGCGCCAGCGCGCCTTTAAACGTCCAAATGCACATTCTACCACCATTCTGCACTTGCTCAGCCTGTAGTTGAACAGCTCCTGACCACTGTCCAGGCTGCCTGTGTATGGCTTCATGAGCCATGCCATTAAGGGGTAGGCTGGGTCCCCAAGGATACATATAGGCATTTCAACATCCCCAACAGTTATTTTCTGGTCTGGGAATAAAGTCCCTTCCTGCAGCTTTTGAAACAGACCAGAGTTCCTGAAGATGCGAGCATCATGCACCTTTCCCGGCCATCCCACGTTGATGTTGGTGAAACGTCCCTTGTGATCCACCAGAGCTTGCAGCACTATCGAAAAGTACCCCTTGCGGTTTATGTACTCGGCGGCTTGGTGCTCCGGTGCCAATATAGGGATATGGGTTCCGTCTATAGCCCCACCACAGTTAGGGAATCCCATTGCAGCAAAGCCATCCACTATGACCTGCACATTTCCCAGGGTCACTACCCTTGATATCAGCAGATCTTTGATTGCGTGGGCTACTTGCATCACAGCAGCCCCCACAGTAGATTTGCCCACTCCAAATTGATTCCCAACTGACCGGTAGCTGTCTGGCGTTGCAAGCTTCCACAGGGCTATCACCACTCGCTTCTCAACTGTGAGGGCTGCTCTCATCTTGGTATTCATGAGCTTCAGGGCAGGGGAAAGCAAGTCACAAAGTTCCATGAAAGTGCCCCTACGCATGCAAAAGTTTCGCAGCCACTGGGAATCGTCCCAGACCTGCAACACTATGCGGTCCCACCAGTCTGTGCTTGTTTCCCGAGCCCAGAATCGGCGTTCCACAGCATGAACCTGCCCCATTAGCACCATGATGTATGCATTGTCAGGGCCCATGCTTTCAGAGAAATCTGTGTCCATGTCCTGATCACTCACGGGACCGCGCTGACGTCGCCTCCTCGCCTGGTATCGCGTTGCCATGTTCTGGTGCTGCATATACTGCTGAATAATGCGTGTGGTGGTTAATGTGCTCCTAATTGCCAAAGTGAGCTGAGCGGGCTCCATGCTTGCCGTGGTATGGCGTCTGCACAGGTAACTCAGGAAAAAAGGCGCGAAATGATTGTCTGCCCTTGCTTTCACGGGGGGGGGAGGGGAGGGGAACGGGGGGCTGACGATATGTACCCAGAACCACCCGCGACAATGTTTTAGCCCCATCAGGCATTGGGATCTCAACCCAGAATTCCAATGGGCAGCGGAGACTGCGGGAACTGTGGGATAGCTACCCACAGTGCAACGCTCCGGAAGTCGACGCTTGCCTCGGTACTGTGGAAGCGCTCCGCCGAGTTAATGCACTTAATGCACTTAGAGCATTTTCTGTGGGGACACACACACTCGAATATATAAAACCGATTTCTAAAAAACCGACTTCTATAAATTCGACTTAATTTCGTAGTGTAGACATACCCTTAGGAACAATGAAAAAGCAATCAGGTTCTTAAAAGAAGAATTTTAATTAAAGAAAAGGTAAAAGAATCACCTCTGTAAAATCAGGATAGTTAACTACCTTACAGGGTAAACAAAATCAAAACATAGAGAATCCCTCTAGGCAAAGCCTTATGTTACAAAAAGACACAAACAGGAATATACATTCCATCCAGCACAGCTTATTTTACCAGCCATTAAACAAAAGAAAATCTAATGCACGTTCTAACTAGATTACTTTCTAACTTAAAAGGAGTTGTAAGGCTGCATTCCTGATCTTTTCCCGGCAAAAGCATCACACAGACAGACCAACCCTTTGTTCCCACCCCACTCCAGATTTGAAAGCATCTTGTCCCATCATTGGTCATTTTGGGTCAGGTGCCAGCGAGGTTATCGTAGCTTCTTAACCCTTTACAGGTGAAAGGGTTTTGCCTTTGGCCAGGAGGGATTTTATAGCACTGTATACATAAAGGTGGTTACCCTTCCCTTTATTTTTATGACAGTATCTAAACCCCTTGTACATCACTGGGGCTGCTTGTGCCCAAGTATGCTTGATTAACTGGGGGGGGGGGAGGGAGGGAAGGAAGGAAGGAGCAAGGCCTAGATTTGTGGATCCTCACCTATGTAGATTCTCTAGCCATTCTACCTTGGTGGAGGGATATCAGAGGTGCAATTGCAGGTCTGAGGCACAAGCAGCAGTCACCATGGAGCAGAATCAGTTCCACAGTAGTTCAAGAAAGAATGTGCCCAAATAAATTTTGTTAGTCTTTAAGGTGCCACAAGGACTCCTCATTGTTTTAGTCTTTTTTTAATACATTTTTTCAGAAAACAAAGTTCCTGCCTCAGACAAGTCATTTTTAGGAATTCCAGCGTGGACTCATAAGAATTGTTCAGCTGTTTTATGACAATATAATGAAAAACATGGCACTCTTTGGGGCAAATGAGACTGTCTTCATGAAAAATTAATACTCTACATAAGGATGACTTTGTGTGTGTGTGTATATAAAGTAACCAGAAAACACCATTTGTTCGTCTTTTGCACAGCTTAATATATAATTGGCATTCATTTATGCCCATAGGTTTCTTGACCAGCAAAAGACAGTTGTTGAAAAGAGGCTATACAAGACAAAATGCAAATGAGGCAGAGCATGAGGAAAATGAGGTGGCACTGGCAGAGTAGTAACAAGAAACTATTAGCATATTACCAAAAAAACAGTAGTGTGAGATTTATTTGTGATTGTCACATAGATGAAAAGTGAATTCTTTGTGGATTATTCTGAGGGAATGAGCACACTGAAGTAACTCTTCATTGAATCTGGCACTAGTTCATCCTTCTTTAGCTTATACCTTTCACCTATTACAGAGATGAGGCGGGTGAGGTAATATCTTTTTATGGGGCCAACTTCTGTTGGTGAGGGAGACAAGCTTCCAAGCTTACACAGAGCCCCTCTTCAGAAGTCAGGCCAATAACAGACATGACCTCACCCACCTTGTCTCACTAACATCCTGAGACTGACACAGCTACAGCACCAGTGCATGTACCTTTCAGCTGGGACAAGCAAGGGTAAATCCCAAGGCTGGAGTTTCTTGTCTATGTTTAATGAATTGTAGTTACTGCCCTGGCATCGACACCAGTACAAACAAAGATATATCACCGATTTATGAAAGAAAAAAAAGAATTTATTCTTATTTCCCTTTTAACTTATCTTGAATCTTTGCTACTTTGTGAAAGTAAAATTTGTTGCTGGATTGTGTTTTCATCTTTCCTGGTCCACCATCAAGATCACAGATCAAAACATTCTACGGAAGTCGGCAAATGATTTATGACTATTGGAAAGAGGCAGAGGTTTGTATATGTAGCATTATATAAACTTTATATACATATACAGCCCTTTGGACTTCCTCTCTGGATTTCTGATCAAAACTTTGGAACAATCTATGCTGAGATTTCCCACCAGAGACTCCTTTCTAGGTTTTAAACTGAGCCCAGTGCATGAAGGGACACGATTTGGGGAGGCTAGCGAGTGCAATGCCAGTACTTAGTGCCAACATGATCAATGAAGTTATAGTTATGTCCCTCATTACTGCATCTCAATGGCTTGATTTAATGAGCTCATAATAATTAGAGAATATCAGTTTTATTTTTAGAGGGATGAAGAGGCACAATACGTTTTTTGCAGTAGCAACTTTCTATTAGCAATATGGCACAACGCTACCTCCCAGCAAACAGAGTAGGTGCAGTAGCAACAGTGGTAAAAGAGACAATCCAGCACAATACATTTTTATAGATTCCAGGGCATGAAGGAACAAATTGTGATCATCTCTGGTCTGATCTCTTGTATAAGACTGCCCAAGGTATTTAGCTAAAGTTGCATTTTTGTTACAGTCACACGCAAAATAGGAAATAAGACTGAAGGACCTGTCTTCAAAGCAGGCTAACCACAGGCTACACAACAAGGGAGCTAGTTAAAGTGCAGTAGGTGAACCTGCTATGGCACCTCCACATTGTCTCTGTCAGAACTCTGCTGTCATGCCTTGTGTCCACACTGGTACTATATTGGGCCATGGTTCATAGCACCACAACTTACTGCGTCGCTCACATTCACAGGGTGTGGTGGAGTGACTAGTCTGCCCACTCTGGGGGTTGTGGGAGGAAATGGTGTTGGTCTGGTATCCAGTTGTGCAAAGCCCTCCCCTCCACAGAACTGCTCTGATTGGCTAAAGGCAGGGAGAGCAGTGCCCTCCAAGTGTCCCACTGGCTGGCCTCCCATTGTGGGTGCAGGGCAGCAACAGGAGTTAGGTCTAACTTCTACTGTAGGGCAGGAGTGCCCTCTAAAACAAAGGACTTGGCGGTAAACCACCTGGTAGGCTCTTGGCAAGTCAGGCTTGGGGGCTGGAGCAAGCTGCTGTGGTGGTGGTCTGTGATTTTGTTTTCTACTGCAGGAGAGAGAGGAGACAGGAAAACAGCTGAAAAAGGCCTCAGACAGTCTGCCCCATGGAGTAGCAGGACTCAGACCAACCCAGCAACAAGGAGACAGACTGTCCAGA